AAGTCACGACTTTGCTACGAGCCGCGACATTGGCTGCACTGCATGATTTTACATTTTGGGTTCGTCCGAACTTGGAATTGACTTCCGTTTTTTCCCACACGATGCCAATGAACCCTTCTAATGAATTATGCTCCCGAAACCAATTTTTCCTGTTGATAAAATTTTCCCATAGCTCCCGACCTACACACCAAAAATGACAAAACATGAAGAAAACCGGAAAAATAAATGAAAAACACCTAAAGACTCAAAATGAAGGAAAACACATAATAAAACACGAAACAAACTAAAACCGAAAGAAACGACCTAAAACGGGGGAAAGAAAAAATAAAACAAGCACGAAAAATGCAACAAATTGGGACACACAGCTCTCCCACACTTAAACCTTTGTTCGTCTTGAACAAAAAGAAAAGAAAAGAAAAGACACAAAACTAAAAACAAGCCTGGACATCAGTCATTAACAAGATAAGCCTCAAAATGTTCAACTTCAACAACGAGCATTCAAATGGCACATACGAGCATTACACAACTAATGCTTGATCACTATACTTGGACATGGTGTTCTCTCAAGTATGGGAATATATATGTGTGCCTCACTCGAATTCTTATATAGATAAAGATAGGTGCACTCAAATTGGTCGATAACAAGTTCAATTATATGCTTGTCCAGTGTCTAACTTCTACTCTAAACCAATCAAAATCGAAACTAGTGCATCACAAAGTCTTTCCGGGTCGTAACGTAGGCTCTTTGGATACGTAGTATCAATATAGGTTAAGTGGCTCGAATTCATTACATAACTCAAACATCTTACCCCAAGAATCGTACACTCAGCCGGTTGCTCAAACATACCGGATCCTCCCCCACACTTTTCCTAAACCACACGTTACACCCATTTTATTTCATTTATTTCTTTTTTTTGTGTGTGTAAACCTTATTGGACATTTTATAATCCATTCGGCTACATTTTTTCTTCTTCTTTTTACTTTTTTTTTTTTTCAAAAAACATAAACACAACTCCAACAATCATCCTCTCCAATTCTCAACCCGCAACTCGTCAATGTCATCATCACTAGATTATCAACAAAAATCAAATAAGGCTAAGAATGGGGAGACTAGGGAATATTATTTGCAGAGAAAGAAAAGGATAGAAAAATACAATAAGTGCCTTAATCATATGCACAGTTCACAATTCTCATCGATTTATTTCAACGCAAACTCAGGGAAAGTTCTAATCAAACTAGAGCACGACTGATGTATCTCAAGAAACAAATAAGGTTCAAACCTCACTAGGTAAATGTATTGAATGCCAATCAAAGCAATCGACCAAGCATTTCATCACGCTATGCCGCATATGACCAACATCACAGCTCATCGAATTCATCAAACAAGTCTTAACTAATCTTGAAATTTCCAAAGTCCATACTCACAAAACACACAAACTGACACAAGACAAAAACAGAAGAAAAGGCAGAAAGGGAAACAACTCAAGAAAGACAAAAAAAAGAAAAGGTGTGTAAACCGAAGATGCATCGAGTAGAGTACACATTCCCATGCGAGCCGCTCGCTTATGCTCAACCCAGAACCTTGATCTTTCACGTTCATCTGAAATCCCCTGCTCGAGCTCTCGAACTCTTTCCTGCCAAGAGAATCACAAAACTCCAAAACTCTCATTATTCAAAGATAAAACTAAAATGCAAAAGGAAAATAAGTACAAAAGCGACAAAACTTTGGTTAGCTCCCAAGAAGCGCTTGTTTAATTTCATTAGCTCGACGAAACCCGTGAGGAACTCAGCCGGGGTCCAAATGAAGTGACGTTCGTGCCTACCTTCGTATTTTCTAGAAATGATAGCATGGGAAGTGTGGCAAAAAGGCAAACACAGTGAATTCGAGTGGCTGTGTTCTTGAAGAAGTGAGTGTGTGCACGAAAAATCTCCAAATACTGATGAAGAGCTTTGTTCACCAACTCTCTATAGTCAACCTTGGGAAATATGAAAATATCCATAGAGCACATCGAGCTATATCCGTCTCTATCAGTAGCACAGGGTGGTGGCTCGGAATGTGAACCCTCTAACCCGATCGGGGGAGGGGAATCCTGAGGAAATGTAAACTCAGGAACATCTCGATCAGGCTCAGAATCTCCTCCACTAGGGTGTCACTCTCGATATGTGGGGCCACAACTTCTTCGTCGTCAAGCTCGCTCATACGCATCAACTTACATGTTCAGGCACCATGCGTAGGATGTGGATCATGGATAGGGGCCTCATTAGCTTGTGATTCGATACGGTCGTTTTGGGTTGTTCGGCTCTCCAATTGCGCGCTCAACCGAGCACATCTGAGTTCAATCTTTTCATCTCGAGTTGCTTGCGCCATCATCTGATCGAGGATGAGATCAAGTTTAGCATTGTGTTCCAAAAAGTCATCCTCGTGCGCAGCGAAAGACATGGGCTCTGGATGTGGGTCCACAACCATGGGCTCATCGGCTTGTGACTCGATAGAGTCGACTCACCTTGCTATCCTTTCCAATTGCTCGCTCAAACGGGCGCATCTAAGCTCCACCTCCTCTTCTCGGTTTTCTTGGGCCATCATCCGATCGAGGATTAGATCAAGTTTTTCGTTGAATGTTGCCTCTTCTTCTCGAGCTGTTACAAAGGTAAGAATCCAGTCGGGCTTCTCATTATGCTCTGAGGATCGCTCCTTAAATTCATAGGTCTGCTCAATCGGTGCCAAATTCCATTGCTGCTTGGAAGGATACATATAAGATTGGTCGTAGTACCCAGAAGTGTAGCTCAGCCCATTTTTCCAGTAAAGAGTGTGCGGGGAGGAGAAAATGGTATTCGGGTTCATTTATCCCTTCGGTTAATATCCCTGCACACAAGACCAGAACAACCATGCGATGCCAACAAAAAAAAAGACAAAAACACAAACATTAAGAGAAAAACAAAGATGCAGAAAAAGAACAAAAACACGGAAAACACAAAATAAAGAGAAACACAGAAATGAAATGAACACCAAAACTAAATGTCCTATCTGCCTTCCCCGGCAACGGTGCCAAATTTGTCGTAGCAAATTATTTTCTTTTACCGAGTATAGAATGGAAAGAATTGTTCCCCGAGTCGATCTCACGAGGAAGGTGGTTCGGAATCTACGAAGGGTGTTGATAGCACACAAAAGCAAAATAAATCCTAAACATACTAATCAAGATGGATTATTTTAACTAATGACTAAAAAATGCATAAAACATAAATCTACCTAAAATGTAAATTAGACAATGATAAAGAAACTACGGAGTCAGGGATAATTAATTCAAGTTCTATTCACAAAATCGGGACATTAATCGTTCGATTCCAGAATGACGTTCTCGCTTAAACGTCTAACGGTTAACTCCCAATAACTCTTCGGAACAAGGGATTGAATATAGACGAGCAAGTTCGAGCATACAACACCGGCCAATTATCCAATCCCAATAACTTTTCATAACAAGGGAAGGGATATCGACAAGTCTGTACTTCAATCCGAAACCTATAGACTATTCAATTATGAAATTGTCTATCTCGTGCGAGCCTAGTTCTATGACTTCTCCCCTTTCGGTTTTAAAAAGTCGCTAATTGAATTAGAAGGGGTTTAATCAACTAATCATTTTGAATCAACAAAATCCTAACTCGACAAATCAATATTCAATTGTTTCCAATCGCATGATCGAAGTGTCACCCTTCGATTATATCAAACTATCAAGCAAGAACTCATCAATTCCCAATTTAAACAACTCGCACAAGAACAAACAAACAAAAGCCCAACAATTACGAAATTAAACAAAAACAATCATTCCCTATCCCTAGCAATCGTAATTAGCAAAGTAAATTACCACTACAAGAAATATGGGAAAACGTGACGATAAAATTCGTCATATAAACCTTATTTTTTGTCATAATAGTGATTTTGTGACGAAATTTAATCGTCACAGAGATCGTCACCGTAGCCGCGTCATGATAGGTCTAAATGACAAATATCGGACTTNGTCACCAAATGCTTAGCTTGTTGTGACGAAATTATGCATTGTCATTATATGTAGTTCTTTTTTGTGACAATAATATTGTCACTATAATTACTAAATTTTTGTCATCTAAATGGTCAATTCGTCATGAAAACTCAATTTGTAAATGACGAATTAACATTTTTGTCATATGAACATTATGTTTTAACGACGAACTTAATTATACGATCGGATTCATGATATTTTAATGACGATTTATTTGTGGTATTTCTACAAAAAAAATTGTCATATATAACATAATTCGTCACGTAAGATTTGTTTTATAACCACAAAATATTTGTCATCACTAGCCCAAAATGTATATGACGATAAAAAAAGTGTCACAAAAAATTAGAATTAATGACAAATTTTTTTTTGTCTCCAATTGGTATAAAGGTGACGAATTATTTTGTCGGGAATTAAACTTCTTTTATTACAAAGAAAAAACATTGTCATTAAAAGCTTGTACTATAATGACAAGTTGAATTGTCGTAAGAAGAGACAATTTGTGACAATAATATATCGTCATCTAATAAATTGAGATGGTGACAAATTCACAACCAATTTATCACAGTTAAATGTCATCAAAAAAGAATATTTTCAGTGACCAATTATAGTTTGTCCCTATTAGATATGGTTACAATGATGATAATTGTCATTATTTCTCAAATACAGTGACAACTAGATTTGTCTTGATAAGGCTTTATGTTGTGACAAACATTATCGTCATTAAATATAATTATCAATTGTCACATCTATCATATTTAGCCCATTTAATTGAAATAAAATGTAGTAATACATAACCATAAAACATAAAGCAAATATTTTCAATCTCATAATATTCCAAACACAATATAAATAGAAGCATTCTGAATATAATAAAATTATATCTTAACAAAACATATATAATAAAATATCCATTGAAATAGAAACTGGTAGGGATGTAAAAACAATAGTCTGATTTAGAACTTAAAGAAACAAAGCATTCCCGAAAAACAATAGTCTGATTTAGAACTTAGAGAAAGAAACAAAGCATTCCCTTTCGAGCTGGTTGTCTTTCTTCTATTTGTGCACCTCGAAAAACTAATCTGATTCGTCTTGTTGCTAAATCCATTCAGTCATAGATGAAAATCGGCACCTGCTTGTTTAAAGGTTCGTAGATCAATGTACATACATATTTAGAAAATGCAAAAAAGTGGTCGAATGAAGTAGATTCTGACGTAAGTAAAATAGAACGTAGTACTTACATGAAGCTTTCTTAGCTCATAGACTAGTCCCGCTGGCAGCCATGGAAGCCATAATCTTTGCAATATCTGCACCTTGGTGACTCAATTGGTCTTTCAAATTACTGACTTGTTCTTTAAGCTCAATCACTTCAGATTCTGATTTTTGCAACTTTTCATGCGTATCTTGAAGCTCCTTCTCCTTCTGGCTATTCAGATCATATGATGAACGTCTACTTGGAGGCCTTGGGCCGTAACCATAGCCTTTTATATAACCAGATCCATGGCCAAGAACCTCAAGAAGAATATCTTGTTCGCTCTTCTCAACACCTTGTTCTGTATATTTTTCTCTCCGTGCAATCATCAAGTCCTATAGAACAAAACTAGTACATAAATGCACAATTAAATCAAATTCACTTGCAAGACTATATTAGCAAAATGTGCCTGCAACACACCCAATTCTCTTCTGCTTCTTTACTTGACCAGCCACCTTTGTCTGTATAATGCGTACGCTTATAGAGTTCAAGCATATCACAAGGTCCTCCGTTCAACTCCTTCTGAGACTAAAAAAATTTGAATGATTAAATTGGTTAACTATTCTAAATTCGCAAAGAAACATAGTAAAATTATAACCAAAAGAACAACCTGAACAGAACAAAATGATCTCATGATACTAATCTATTATTATATTATCACATAAAGATACATTTGATACAAGTGGATATATTCATCAATTTTATATGCACAGAATTTTGAACAAGTAGTATGACCAGCTATTGTGTATTAATACGTTGATGTTGTAGAAGAGGACAAATGTCTGCACTATTTTACTGATATATTCTATTTCACATAATTTACATATCTTGTTACTATAATTGTTCAAAACTACAAGTTTAGAAGATCATTTAATAGAACTTACTATTTCGTGTTGAAGAAAAGTAAAAGGTGTTCGGCCAGAAATATGTGGAGCCCGCATTTGATGTCGATTTACAGCATTAACCGAACTTTGGTGTTGTTAAAACAAGAATATCGATATTACTCTACTAACAAAAAATATAAATTATTAACTAATTAGTTATGTAAATATAAGATGAATTAAAAGAATATTACCTTGAATTTAGGTGAGGCGAAATGCTCGCACAATTCTTCCCAGTTTTGTTTATTCGCACAAAAAGATGGCTTGTTATTCTTAGCTTCTTCAAGGGATGAATATTTCTTGTAATGTTGATGGAGCCTATAGCGTTTTTGGCGTGTACTAGATTGCAGTCTATCAATCACGCATCGTTTCACTCCCGTATCTTCCAAGTTAACATCCATGTGGATCTACACATTTCGAAACTCAAATTATTTGAAGTAATATTAAAAAGCATACATGAAACAATTAAAGAGTACTTGATTCCTACCTTTATATGGTCAATGCCAGGTTCAAGACCTTTTTCATCCACGTCTTTCCACTTTTTTGGCACCGGAAGGACATCTCGAGTTACTACACCAATTTGACTCGAGAACTTTGCTGACTCCACTCTATTTTTAGGTCTTCCTATCATTGGGTCCACAGTTATTTTCATTTTTTTCCCTGAAGCCTCAAATGTCTTTATAATGCTCTTGCCCATGGTTTGTCCACGTTTTTTCTTACTGGAGCAACTTGAAGCTGCAAATTAACCACTCAATAAGTGTAATAGTTTAGATGCAACTCAACCTTGATATTTTCTTTTTTTGACAAGTATTAAGAGGCATTAGTCTTTCAGTACAACTTTTAAAGTTTTTATCATAAATAATGGAGTTGTCTGCTTTTTAGATACTTGGATGTAGATAATGTATACAATAAAATCTAACAATCCCCGTACAAATATCTCAAATATCTCACATGGTGAATAGCAATATCTATTTCCCATCATCAACGAAACAAGACCACTCTAATTAACTAATCTAATTAACTAGTATCAGCCAGACTTCAAAACAAACAAAAGGGTAAGCAAAGGTCAGTATACCTTGAGGTAATGGAGGATTCAGAGTTCCTTCAGTTGAAGGAGTATCTAGAGAGCTGCTCTCATTCTGTTGAGTTTGAGGAGATTGAGTTGATGAAACGACATGCGTCGTGTTGTCACCCTCCAACGTGTGAGTCGTTATAGTAGTTTCACCTCCTATAGATGAATCATTATTTGCTTTACCTGTTTCCAATCCCTCATTTGCCTTCTCCGGTCCCACATTTGTCTTCTCAAATTGTCGCGTGATACTTCTGCGAGGTATCGAATCTGCTAAAGTATTTGTCATGGTCAAGTGACTTAGGAGACTTTGTCGAGAGTTGTTTGGTATGTATTTCTTGGAATTCCGAACTGATCCAGGTGCCATCTGAAACATTTATGAGAAAAAA